ACCTCTTGAGGTCCCTTCCAACCCTGATATTCTATGATTCTATGATTTAGCCATATTTAAAGGCATATTGTTTGCTTGAGCCCAGCTTGATCACTCTATATCAGTGACCTGTCCCCTTCATTATTTACCACTCCCCCAATTTTGGTGTCATCTGCAAACTTTCAGTGATGATTTAATGTTTTCTTTCAGGTTATTGATACAAATGTTAACTGGAGTAGGGCCAAGAAGATCTTGGCACTTTTCACAAGAGTCAGGGTTTCCCAAACATTTCCCAAGCCCCACACCTGATGCTACAAAAACAACAAGGAGTCTGGTGGCACCTTAAAGACTAACAGATTTATTTGGGCATAAGCTTTCGTGAGTAAAAACCTCACTTCAAGACTCTATGCATCCGAAGAAGTGAGGTTTTTACTCACGAAAGCTTATGCCCAAATAAATCTGTTAGTCTTTAAGGTGCCACCAGACTCCTTGTTGTTTTTGTAGATACAGACTAACACGGCTACCCCCTGATACATGACACCTGATGCTGTACAGCCTGACTGCTGCCCTCCACCCCAAAGGTGACTGGATTCTATGGGTACTGTGGCCGTACGGTTTGTAAACAATGTTTGGATAAAAGGCACTCGGTGAATGTTGGAGAAGGTGAGCCCAGTTCTGCTGTTTTCTTCCAGAGGTACTTTCCACTCAACTCCCTTGCATCCTTGAATCATCAGATCAGTTTAAATGAGTAAATGTAATGAGATTCCATGCCTGTGTGTGTAGCAATTAAACAAGGTTAAAGGTTGGGGATACAAATTCAATGCAGGCAGTGTCATTCTGAACACAAGAATGCTTTAAGCTTTGTGTGACTAAACAGTGACACCTACAGGCCACTCATGAACGGAGACAGGAAGGGAGATTAACTCAACTCTCTAGCCCAGACAAAGGTAGCAGCAATGTGACCACAAATCATGAGAGATAAGGGTCACATTTTCACCCTATATCATCTGCTGCTTTGGCCCTGGATTCAACGAGCATCTCTACTTCTCTGTGAGCGGGGAAAGTTTTTTTTATCATATTCCTACCTAGCCTTAGGGGTTTGCCCTGTGGTCTTTGGCTTGCTATGGGGAGGGGTAGAAGTGCCATGGTAGCCAAAGTGACATTGATCAGCACAGAAGGAGGCAGAGAGGCTAGGTTGGCTGTAGAGGAGACAGTTCTGAAGCCCAAAGCCCCACAACTCTCTGGATTTGCGTGAGCATAGCTGGTCATTTTAATCCATTCAAACTTTTTAGATCTTGAGGGTCATGGGGAACAAATGGCTTGCCTTTCTCAGCTAAAAAAATGCGGCAATTCATCACATTTTGGGGTGCTCCTCCCCCATTCACAGGAATGAGTCTTGTCCCCTGCTCAGGTAGCTTTGAGCACAACCAGCAGGAGCCAGGACCAGCAGCATGTGAACCTGCAGCAACAGGCTGTGCAGAAGTTCTAAGAAATTCCTGGAAGAAGGAAACATCAGCACTCTGCCAAAGCTTTTGGCAGGGGGGAGAAACACACACACCGAGCTGGCAGGGCACAGCAACATCTGGCTGTGGGGGAACACAAGCAGTGTGGTGTGGACGAGAGGTGGATACGCAGGCCATGTGGTGGGGAGCTAGCTGGGCTGTTATTAATATGTAATGCTAAGGTAATTTTGTTAGCTCAGTGTGCACCCATTACTCCTGGTTACTCTGATAGGTGTATCCATGTGCAAGTATCAAGGGAACTCTTACATCTCTAATGTTGTGTCTGAAAATAATATTTTGGCCTTCTTCTTGGCTTCCACTCATAGCACATTTGCATCTTGCCTCCCTCCTCTCCCCCAAAGGCCCTCTCTCACCTTCCTTTGCCTACCCCCTCAAATACAGCTCTTTCTGCAGCATAAAACCCAAGAGACCAAGTGGCTTCAGTCAAAAAAGAAATCCCATTCAGCATGCAGAGAGGTGTAGGAAGGTCTAATGGTTAGAGCACCTGGATGGGCATCACAAGAGCTGGGTTCTATTTCAGGCTCTGATACTGACTTGCTTTTCCCTCTGTGCCTCATTTCCCCCATCTGTAAAATGGGAATACAGATGTTTCCCTAACTCACCCGGAAGTTTAACTCATTAATATTTGCAAAGCTTGGTGAGGTCTTTGGAAAGAGGGAATTAGAGATTGACACAGTCATATTATTATAACATGGTTCGTCCTGCAGACTGAAGTAAATTAAAATGTAAGGCTGCTTACCGTGTCTGTAGAGACTTAAGGGGTTTGCTCCTAACTGAGCTCACGTCCAGTTCCAGAAATCTAGGGATATCTGGGAAACCAGCCTGGGACCAGAGCAGGGACACATGGGGTTTTGGAACGATAGGAAAACTGTGAGAGATGACATCGGTCCTCCATACTGACTCTATCTGGTCACAAACCTGCTCACTGCAGGAGCACAAGAACGCAGTCATTTGGAAGCAATAAAAACTACTCAGCTACAAACCTATTAACACAGTAATGTGATGGGCCAAGCCAATGGGCTCCTGACTCAACCCAGAACGTACAAACAAGTGCTAAAGCTAAGCATTTAAACCCATATTTAAGTACCGACGTAAGTGGCCCAGTGTTCTGAGAACTTCAGTGGGAGATGGAAGTGAGAAGTGCCTCTCCGGATTAGACTCCAAAGGGAGTTTGCTTGAGTCAATGACAGGACTTGGCTCAGTAGCAATTGAGGGTGCTCAGCAGGATTGGGCTTCAACTGGTGGTTGACTGCCCTGGAGACTGAAGTCCTCTGCGTAGCCACAGAGCAAGTACAGAGAGGAAGGGAAAAGCTGAAACAGCCAAGATGGGAACACAGGGTATGTCTTACTCTGGCTGGAGGTCTTGAAAGAGGGAAGACAGTGAAAAGGGGGAGAGGCCAAGTGGAATGCTGGGGCTCTTGGAGTTTGATTCTGGTAGAAGTTGAGCACCCTCAAAAGTCAGTGAGAGTTGTAGGTGCTCAGCCTCTTAGATGAAGCAACCAGCACCTTACAGGATCACCATAAGGAGGACCTGAGCATCAGACCACAATTTGGGGCTGTAGCAAGGCAGGGTGTGTTAATAAGGGCTGCGTGGAACATTTTCAGACCCCCATATACCTGACTCCAGCTGGATACATAAAGTCTCTGACTTTCTTCACACTTGCCAGGGGGCTTGGATAGCCAGGGGATTTGGATCTGGCATGGGCTGAGGACGGGAACTCCTTCATTTCATCCACTGCTTTGATCACGAGTGGGGATGGGCTGTTGAGGTGGAGTTCAGAGCTCAGGCGGAGCTAATGGAACAACAAAGAAAAGGAGCTGTCCTCCTGCTGCCAGTGCTTCCCCTCTCCCTTCTCTCGCTCACATTCAGAAATAACCTGACTGAAATCAAAAGGGGCTACAGGGATAAAACTGGGTTAGGGGAGAGGAGAATCAGGTCCAATTAATCTGTACACTGGTAATAATAATAAATAATAATAATAATATCTAAATCCTCTGCCAGTAGGAGTTTGTCTGAGTAAGAACATAAGGATTGGAGTTCGTAATCATTAGTAAAAGAATAGTAGAGATATTATAGTAATTATAGGCAAGTACCAAAGAGACAGTCCCTGCCCCAGAGAGCTCACAATCTAGCTATTAGGATGCAACAGGTGGACACAGCAGACAAATGGGGTGGGGAGCAGATTTGATGGGACGAGGGAACAATAAAACAAAGGTTAGCATAAAATAAAAGCAGAAGCCTTAGTTCGCCACTTGCCTAACCAATGCCAGGTGACAGTGATATTTAGGCATCATGGCAGAGGTAGGTTTTATGGAGGGATTTCAAAGAGGAGAAGGTGACACTTTAAATTTTTTTACAGGGATTTATTAATTATTTCAAATCCCAGAAAGCTGTCAAGCACCCACAACTCCTGTTGGCTTTTCTGGAGGCTACAGGCAGTTAGCATGCTACTCAGTATCAGGCATAGTAACATTTTGCCTTTCTCCAGCTCCTTTCAATTGAAGGCAAAGTATTTATCTGGCCTCCATTACCATAGTACCTGAGCACCTAACAATCTTTAATGTATTCGTCCTCTGAGCACCCCTGTAGGGTAGTTATTATCCTGTTTGCAAATGGGTATCTGAGGCACAGCGATGCTAAGTGACTTGCCCAAGGTCACCCAGGAAGTCTGTGGCCGAGCAGGGACTTGAACCAAGTCTGAAACTAGTACCCTAATGTCCGGACCAGCCCTCTTCTTTGCAACCACAATTGATCCTCAACACCTTTCCCACTCCCTGGAAGACTAGGATTCAAGGACAGATGGGAAATATCAGTAAAGGTGACATCCACTCTTGTGCAGACAGTCAGAGCAAGGCTGATGCATTACTTAAGTCCCACTTATGCCCTTTGGGCCTTTGGCATAGGCCTTGTGCTGGCATTTCTGCACAGGGGAAATTTCACCCTAGCCCCTTAAACACTGTTTTTCTGTCTTGTTATCCCATTGGATATTTCTAATTTTAGAAACAAAAGTGACCAATAAAAACCAAGGGCCACACTCTTCTCTTGGTTATGCCAGTCATGTCAGCAGGATCATCTGTGGGAACCAAGAAGAGAACTTCGCCCCGAAAGCTCACCTGGGCAAACAAGGAAATCATCTTGCCAAGGCAGTGTCGACGTGCCTGCTCTGCTGTTTTCTGTTTGGCCACCCAGCACTGTAGCACCTTTTTCCGGTAAGCATCCACCCTCTCCACATATGTATACAAGTTCCGGACCTCAGCACCATCATTTACAGCTCTGGCAGCGTCCAATCTGGACATTAAGGTTTGTCTTGGAATAGAAAGAAAAGGAATTAAATTATGAGAAATGTTTCTTCTCCACTATAGAACCTATTTACATAGTTTGATGTGTGTTGTGTTAGCAGGGGAGTGGGGAAGGATATGCAAACTGAGGGGTGCTTTGGATGTAAGGTTCTATCTAGCCATACATCCAGCCATCTCAGTTTTTCTAATGCCCTATTATCTTAATTTCTAGATGTTGAAGTACCTCGTTTGCATCTCTTTTAATTAGAGATGGTCCAGACCACAACCCTGTATCCAAGACTTTTGACCTTTGGGGTGTTTGAAATCCAAACCCAAGGGCTGTGGCTTGAGTTCATCACTACCTTTTTTCCAAAATTCACGGTTCAGGGTGGGATGAATGGTTCTGGCTTTGACCCATCTGTAATTTTGAGGCCAGGTTTTTCTGTCAGATCTGTACAAAGGATCTCAGCCCTGATATTTCGGAGCATGGAAACCCCACTCACATCACTAGGTGATGAGACCATATGTAGTTTCCTTTGTGCTGCTTTGAGCCTTTATCTTCCAACCCTCCAAAAATAAATAAATAAATAAATAAATAAAGTTGATAAGCTAATTTGATTGATTTTGGGACAAATCCCAAGAGGCACCAACCACCCAGAACTGCCATAGAAGTAAAGGAGATGGTCTGTCTATTGCTGAGCTAGGGCCAAATCCCGAGAGATGCTGAGCACACTTTGCACAATCCTGTTCTGACTGAGATCAGTGAGAGTTTGACCACTGAGCTCAATAGAAGCAGACTACACATGCTCAGCACCAGTCAGGATCTGATCCACTGGACCCCATCCTGGCTGCCCTGAGGAACTGCCGAACAAAGAGGCTGCAAAGCAGCTGTCCTTTGGAGAATACCCTGGTGCAAGACGTTATTTGAGCCCTTTCACAAAAGCCCCAGGTGGAGGGATATTCCAGGGTGTGTTTGTGTGTGTGGCATGTCATGGAAGGGAGGGGGCATGAACTAGGTGTGTCTGCACCTTACTTATTCCCCAGCTGCCACAAGGCCTGTGGTCTGAGTAAGGCCTTAGTAAGGACCTCAGGATTTGTCCCATTGGCTTCAATAGGAATTTTGCCTGTGTAAAGACTGAGCAAAGTCTTGCTCTCATTGAACTCAATGGACAGGCTCACATTGGCTTTGATGGCAGCAGAACAGGTCCTTAGCAAGGATTTGGCCCCACATGGATAACAGTAGTCTGCATATGTTGGTACCTGACATGCTGGAGGTGGCAGAAGGAGATGTATTTGTGGAAGAGGAGAGCCAGCCTCTCAACATCAGTGTGCAGGGTCTCAGTGATAACCTCCTTCGCCTGCATGTGCAGGTGTGGGGGTAGTCTGCACTTTTGGGTCGCCTGCCCCAGCAGCACCAAGTTCTCCCTCTGAGCCTCCACATCCACCCAGTACCGCTTCTCTGACATGCTGGAGGGCACCAAGCTCTTCCCTTTGGGCTTCTGAGCCAGCGTCGGGAGCCAGCTAGTCTCCTCAGCAGACTGAGCTTGAGAGTGCAGGGATACTTTGCTCTGAGTGGGAGCCATTTGCTGGGTAGAAGGCTTGAAATAGTCATACAGTAGCACCTCTTCCTTTGCAATGTCTCTCCTTGCCCTGAGTGGGATCTGTTTTGTCAAGTGTTCCAGGGTCCCAGGCTCTCTGCTCCGGGGAACTGTTTTAGGCCTTGGGATCAGGTACTGCTCCTGCTGCATCTGTTTTTGCAGCAGCTCTTGCTGTTCATGCAACTGCTGTAGCTGCTCCTGCCACTGCTGCTGCCATAGCCTCTCCTGCTCCTGCTGCTTCACCTCCTGCTGCTGCCACTGCCTCAGCTGAAGGTCATGTTCCTCCTGCTCCTGCTGCCACAACTGACGCTGCTTCTCCTGCTCCTCCACCTGCTGCTGCCAGTGCCTTGCCTGCTGCTCATGCTCTTGCTCCTCCTGCTGCCACAATTTCAGATGCTCCTCCTGCTGCTCCCGCTGCTGCTGCTGCTGCTCCCTCTCATGCTGCTGCCACAGCCTCTGCTGCTCCTCCTCCTGCTGCCGCCACAGCCTCTGCTGCTCCTCATGCTTTTCCTGCTGCTCTTCCTGCCACTGCTGATAGAGCCTCTGCTGCTGCTCCAGCTGCTGCTGCCTCAGTCTCTGCTCCTCTGCTTGTTCCTCCAGCTGCTTCTTCCACTGCGTTTGCTCCTCTTCCTGCCCTTCCTGCAGTGGCTCCTGCTGTGGCTGCAGCTCCTCAAACTGATGCTCTTCCTGCTGCTCCACCTCTACCTTCTCCTTTACCCCTTGCAGCTGCTGCTGGAGCTGCTCCTCAGGCTGTGGTGACGGCCATTGCATCTGATACTGCTGCTCCTTCTGTACCTTCTTAAACCATTCCTCTTCCTTCTCCTGCCATTGCTCCTGCTGTTGTCGCTGCCATTGCTGCTGCCATTGCTTGGGAAATTGAAAATGTGCTGAGATATTAGGTTCCTTCAACAGGGCTGCAGGGAGTCCCCATTGTGAGATCCCAGGAACTTTGGACTCCAAAAAGGAACTGTCAGGGTCACTCAACTGGATGGAGGGACCAGGAACTTCTTTCCCTGGAATGAACATTCCAGGAAGAGCCTCCAAGGGTGGCTTTGCCTCCTCCTCACGCTCTTCAGTCAACTCCAGGCTCCTTGGAAGCTTCTGCTCCTCTAAGCTGCTGGAATATTTTATCTTCATTTTTGAGAAGAATTCTTCCAGTTTCCTCTCCAAGGCCATGTAGAGCCTTTGGGCTTCTGGGTCCTTGGGCAGCATCCTCTCTGCTTGTCTCTTCCCAGGAGAGGGACATTTCCATAGCTTCTCCGTCTTCTGCTCCAGATAAGCCAGGATAGCTGAATTAAACCCATACAGTGCAGTGGATGGGTCCAGCATGCTTCTGCTGATAGGGCTCTGAGATATTTTTGTATGTGTCTCCTCAGTGTCCAGGCTTTCCTTCCTCCTCCTCTGCTTTCCTTTCCTAGAGACCCCTTGGCATGGGAGCTCTGTTGGGGATGGGAGCCTTTCCATTTCTTCTTCACTGTCAGCCTTGAGCTCATGATCATCTGGCAGGATCTCATGCCACTCACCAGTGACATCTTCAACAACTTCCTGGGTTCCACCCAGGAGGTTCACATCCCATTTGTCAGCAGCCTCTGTTTGCTCACTGTCCAGAGGTTGTTCATGCCATCTTCCAGCCAGGTCTCCTGAAGTCTCTTCTTGTTTTTCCACTGGGATGACTGCATCCCATTTGACAACAGTGTCTTGAGTTCTCTCTACTGGGGCTTTCTGTGCCTTCTGTTTGTCACTGGTGTCTTCACCTCTCTCTGTCGAGACTTTCAGTGCTGGCTTTTTATCTAGAAGCTTTGCATCCTGTTTGTCACTGGTGCCTTCACCTCTCTCTACCAAGACTTTCTGTAATAGCTTTTTATCTAGAAGCTTTGCATCCTGTTTGTCACCGGTGTCTTCTGTTCTCTCTACCAATGGTCTCTGAAACAGCTTTTTATCTGGTATCTTTGCCTCCCTTTTCCCACTGGGGGATTTAGCAAGGGCTGCCTGGGATTTTTCAGCTGACAGCTTCGCATCCTTTTCCCTACTCAGATGTTTATCATCTTCCTGGGATTTCCTTTCATAAGAAGCCCTGACCCCAAATTTCATGTCTCTTAAAGACGGTTCTGTCTTTACTGCTGCTTTTTCCTCCACCTTGTGCAGTTCTTTTTGCATTGCCTCATTTGCTATGAAAAGCATCTTGTATTTGTGTTCAGTGCTTTGGACTTGAGCCTCCAAAGATGCCTTTTTCTCATTAAGCACCTGTACTTCCTTTTGAAGGTTCACATACTGAACTTCCTGCTTCCTGGACTCCTGGGATGCTAAGGTATCATACTTTGCTTGCAGGCCACGGAACTGTTTGGTTAGCAGAGTGAAGGCTTTGGTGAGATTGGCCACCATTGTCACTATATATTTAACAACAACAACTTCTGCTTTGTTGAACAGTGTTGACCCTACAAATTCCTGTAACATGGTAAGGAGCTCAGAAGTCCTGGAGAAAGTTACAGATTCATCTTCTAGCATTTGTTCAGGGCTCAAGGGCTGGGCTTCCTGAGGTTTCTGTGCAACTTTTTCTCGCCATGCTCTCCACATGCCAGTTTTGGGAACAACTGGGAAAGTTAGACACACAAAGAAAAAGAATTAGGGTCTATAATGAAATGAAGGATGGTCCTATGGTTAAGGCTCTGGGACAAAACTCAGAAGATCTGGGTCCAATGTATGGCTCTGCCACAAACTCTCTGTGCGACATTAGGCTAGATTCTTCACTGCTCAGTCCCCCATATTTAAAATGGGGATAATAATCCTTTCTGTATCTAGCCCGTCTACTTAGTTTGCCTCTGACTGGGAAAACACTTCGGGGTGCTCTCAATAAAGCATATTGAAATGCCTCATGCTTGAAGGTCACTTTTGAAAATCTGGCTGCATATGGATCAAACCTTTGTTCCTCCAAATTAATCAGAAATATTATTTTTTCCCTCTTTTCTTATTCCAAAATATTTGAAACACATACTTGATTTCCCCCTCTTTTTCCTTCTGTGTTCCACAAGAGGTGTGCAGAGATTGATTAGCTGCATTATACACCCTTCTGTATAATCAAGGGAAGTCAGCAGCTTGGTCTCCATATCACTGACCCACTGGACAGTGGGGGTGTCTCCTACTTGTTCTTTGCCTTCTGACAACATTTCACCTTGAAAAGAGCCAAAGCAAAAAGGGGAATGAAGCTCACATTAATTACCTTCCAGCAGAAAATCAAACCCTTATTAAATGACACAAAAGATCTCAGCCTGATGGTTAGCAATTTATATGTGACATGTCTACAGCCAGGTGTGAGATGGAGTCTTAGGGCGTTCAGTAAGGGCCTCTGAGAGGGCTAAGGAGGTGGGCAAGCGGGTGTCTCCCCTTGTTGGTGACAAGGAGGTGGGGATCATGTTTGGGGACAATGTGTGTGACAGCTATTAAAAACTAATATAACACATCTTAGATCCTTCAGTGGAGACCATGAGCGCAAATCACCTGATTCCTGGTATTCTAAAGGTTAGATTCAAGATGGTCCTGTAAATCAGACTCCCCCACTATATACCTGCAGGGTTTGAGCAGAGATGGGTGTGACAATTGGAGTCCAGACACCCCATGGGGAGAACAAGAAGTTTAACCCCCCAAAATAAGCATTTAAATCAACTGACTGTATACTGTCATTGTACTATAAAAATATACCAAGTAAGGTTTTGATAAAACTTGTAATGTTCTGAATTTGATGGTCATTATGAGATATGTATATAGACCATGATTATTAATATACATATGTGTATACACAGAAAATTGTAAATTGGAACTGTGGGGAACTTTAGCATGGCCTCAAAACAGGGCGATGAAGCAATCAGGCAGGGATAGGCTACCTCCCAAGCCAGTTGCTTACATTATACCAGCTTCAAGTACCTATCCGTTGTCCAGCCCAGGAAAGGAAAATGGTAGACCATTAAAGTTAATGGAAAGATATTGAGACAACTGGGAATTTCCCTAGTCTGAATAACCAGGAATCACCATAGTCTGAGGCCTGGTCTACACTAGGAGGTTATGTCGAATTTAGCAGCATTAATTCGAATTAACCCTGCACCTGTCCACACAACGAAGCTATTTATTTCGACATAGACGTCTCTTTAAATCGATTTCTGTACTCCTCCCCGACGAGGGGAGTAGCGCTAAATTCGACATAGCCATGTCGAATTAGGGTAGGTGTGGATGGAATTCGACGCTAATAGCTCCGGAAGCTATCCCACCTCTGGACAACAGTCCGAGCTTGGATGCTCTGACCAGCCACCAGCCACACAGGAAAAGACCCGGGAAAATTTGAATTTCTTTTCCTGTCTGGCCAGTTTGAATCTCATTTCCTGTTTGGACATCGTGGCGAGCTCAGCAGCACTGGCAACGATGCAGAGCTCTCCAGCAGAGGTGACCATGCAATTGCAGAATAGAAAGAGGGCCCCAGCATGGACTGATCGGGAAGTCTTGGATCTGATCGCTGTGTGGGGCGATGAGTCCATGCTTTCGGAGCTGCGATCGAAAAAACGGAATGCGAAGATCTACGAGAAGATTTCAAAAGCCATGACGGAGAGAGGATACAGCCGGGATGCAATGCAGTGCCGCATGAAAATCAAGGAGCTGAGACAAGGGTACCAGAAGACCAAAGCGTCAAACGTACGCTCCGGATCCCAGCCCCAGACATGCTGTTTCTACAAGGCACTGCATTTCATTCTAGGTGTGGCCGCCACCACTACCCCACCACTGTCCGTGGACTCTGACGATGGGGTATTGTCGACGGCCGCTTCCTCGGAGATGTTCGCAGATGGGGAAGATGAGGAAGGAGATGAGGAGGATGAGGCAGTTGACAGCACTTTCAACGCTCATTTCCCCGACAGCCAGGATCTCTTCATCACCCTCACGGAGATCCCCTACCAACCCTTCCAAGGCGGTAACCCGGACCGTGAATCAGGGGAAGGATCAGTAGGTAAGTGTTTTAAACATTTATTTTGAACAGAATAGGAATGGTATCTTAACAATGGATTTTTCATGATTAGTTTGCCCTAGGCGCTTTAGTTTTTAGTCCTTGCCAGTGCAGCTACTGGAAAATTCTGTCAATATGTCCGGGGATAGAGCAGAAATCCTCCTGGAACATCTCCACAAAGCTCTCCTGGAGGTATTGTGAAAGCCTTTGCATCAGGTTCCTGGGACGAGCGGCCTTATTGCACCCTCCATGGTAGGAAACTTTTCCGCGCCAGGCTAGCAGCCTCACAATGCATGGCGGCATACGGCCCTGGTGTTTGCTGGCATTCATGCAGCATGCGGTCTTTCTCTGTCTCCGAAATCCTCATCAGAGTGAGATCACTCATGGTGACCTGCTTTGAATTAGGGGAATGTTAGTATTGGGATTGATTGCCTGTTCCTTTACATATCTGTAACCGGCGGTTTACAGCCACGCGGTGGAGGCGGGACAGGGGCAGCATGCAGGGATCTTTCCCGGGGACAGCTGCGAGGGGGGTGGGACAGGGGCAGAGTTCATGCTAGCCGGATTGCCGGCAGCAGGAACTGGCCAACGCTAGGAGCATTGTTTGGAACGTGAAAGGAGGGCACTGCTATAAATTAAGCTTTAAGCAGCCGAAAGTCTATGTCTTACCATGTCCGCCTGCTAGCCGAATTCCGTTGTCCGGCCCCGCTTGTGTGATCTGTACAGCAAGACCCCAGGCACTCAATGGGAAGGCCGAAAATTCGACCTTGTACTGAGTGCGCATGTGATAGGTACTGTGCATGGTCTTGTTCACAGAGAAAGACTATATTAATTGTTTGCAAAACTGTATCTTTGTGAGGAATTCACTTTCTTTTTCCCATCCCACAGCTGTGAGTGTCTCCCGAGCTACCCCGGCATCCCCCTCCCAGAGGCTGGCGCAGATCAGGTGACGAAAGAAAAGGACACGGGACGAGATGTTCTCAGAACTTATGGTCTGCTCCTGAGCAGAGGCGGCACAGTAGACCCAGTGGAGGGAGAACATGTTGCAATACCAGCGATCACACAGCGAATGGGAGGACAGGTGGCGGCAGGAAGACCAGCAGGCGACTTAAACGCTGCTTGGACTAATGAGGGAGCAAACGGACACGCTCCGGCGCCTTGTAGATGTTCTGCAGGACCAGAGGCAGGAGGACAGAGCCCCGCTGCATTCTATCTCTAACCGCCCTCCCCCGTCACAAAGTCCCATCCTCCCCTCCCCCAAAGTCCCAAGAAGGAGGGGTGGCAGGAGCCGTGAAAACAGTCACTCCCCCCCTGCAGACTGCTCAAGTAGCAGAAGGCTCTCATTCCCAAAGATTTGATAAGTCCTTTCCTTCACTCCAAAAGCACCTCACCCAAGCCCCCGTCCCAGTTTCATCCCCTAACTGTGTAGTTGTTAATAAAAAATACATTTCTGTTAATTACTGTTTCCGTCATGTTCTTTTAGAGGAGACTGTGTTTGAAGGGGGGGAAGGGGGTTGGTAATTGGAGAGGACAGTCACCTTTACCAGGGTACAGACACGGGGGCAGGTTCGGCAGAAGGTCACACACACATTGCAGTCACTAGGCACCCTGGTCAGTCTGGGAGGTGGTTTTCATGTTCTGGGGGGGCGGGGGCGGTTACAGATCTTATGCAGCGGTCCTTAGCCTGGATGACAGAGCCATGCAGCAGGGGATCTGTAACCGCCCTCCCCCACCACAAAGTCACATAGCCTCCACACAGAGAGTCCCGAAAAGGAGGGGTGGCAGGCTCCGTTGAAACAACCAGTCCACCACTGCGGACCGCTCTAGGAGCAGGAGCCTGTCATTCCTCGAGTTTAGAAGCATCCTTTCCATCACTACACCCGCTCCCCACCAGTCTGCGTCCCAGTTTCAACACTTTACCACAAAATCCTTAATAAAGAAAACGGTGTTAATGAACAAAGTTTCATTTATTTTATTTTTAAAGGTGTGTTGGAAGGGGGGGAAGAGGGTTGGTAACTGGAGAGGATAGTCAACATTAACTGGGTAAAGAAACGGGGGCAGGTTCAGCTTCTGTTTAGACAAACTTAATAGTCACAGGTTACCCTGCTCACTCTGGAACCTAGCTTTCAAAGCTTCCCGGATGCACAGCGCGTCCCGCTGGGCTCTTCTAATCGCCCGGCTGTCTGGCTGGGCGTAATCAGCAGGCAGGCGATTTGCCTCAACCTTCCACCCCGCCATAAACGTCTCCCCCTTGCTCTCACAGAGATTGTGGAGCATACAGCAAGCTGCAATAACAATGGGGATATTGGTTTCGCTGAGATCAGAGCAAGTCAGTTAGCTTCTCCATCTCCCCCTTCAGACGTCCAAAAGCACACTCCACCACCATTCTGCACTTGCTCAGCCAGTAGTTGAAGAGTTCTTTTTCACTGTCCAGGGCGCCTGTATAGGGCTTCATGAGCCAGGGCATTAGCGGGTAGGCTGGGTCCCCGAGGATCACTATAGGCATCTCCACATCCCCAGTAGTTATTTTGTGGTCCGGGAAGTAAATACCTTCCTGCAGCCGTCTAAACAGACCAGAGTTCCTGAAAACACGAGCATCATGAACCTTGCCTGGCCATCCGACGTTGATGTTGATAAAACGTCCCCTATGGTCCACGAGTGCTTGCAGTACCATTGAAAAGTAGCCCTTTCGGTTAATGTACTGGCTGGCCTGGTGGTCCGGTGCCAGAATAGGGATGTGAGTTCCATCTATAGCCCCACCGCAGTTTGGGAATCCCATCGCAGTGAAGCCATCTATGATCACCTGCACGTTTCCCAGGGTCACTACCTTTGAGAGCAGTAGCTCAACGATTGAGTTGGCTACTTGCATCACAGCAATCCCCACAGTAGATTTGCCCACTCCAAAGTGATTCGCCTCTGACCGGTAGCTGTCTGGCGTTGCAAGCTTCCAGAGGGCTATGGCCACTCGCTTCTGGACAGTCACGGCTGCTCGCATCCAGATGTCCTTGCACTTCAGGGCAGGGGACAGCAACTCACAAAGTTCCAGGAAAGTTCCCTTGCACATCCTAAAGTTTCGCAGCCACTGTGATTCATCCCAGACCTGCAGCACTATGCGGTCCCACCAGTCCGTGCTTTTTACCCGGGCCCAGAATTGCCGTTCCACAGCATCAACATGACCCATTGCC